CTCTTACCATTTCCGGTCCAGTGATGTTTGCGGAAAAAAGGCAAATTCCAAACTTCTTGTGCAATTATAATTTTACATGACTTTTCAAAGCAGGAAGTGAGCGTTTTCTATTTTTTCAGTATATCCTCGAACTGCACCAACAAATGTCTTCCAAGAGGTATTAAAAGGGCTTGCTCTGTTCTCAGATACATTACTGGATGAAAAATGACAAACATACTCGCGGTCAAATAACAAAAGCATTTTATTTCTTCGACTCATTCACCTACCTTCTATTGTATGCATAACGAAATCTAATTTCAAACACACTGACAGCAATTTGGCTATCATTTACCATATTTGACATGAAATACTCGACCATTACGCCAGATCAGCCCTTTCTCTAATTTTCGCGCCAATATAGCGAAACTAGGCGTGTTTCTGGTCCAAACATTGGATGTTGCTTTCGGTTTTGCTGCCATATGGGGAACAGTGCTCGCTTGAGAAGATTATCGATGGCAGTAGTTTATGGAGCTACAGTGGTGAAAACAGCTTATCAGAAATAGTAGAGCATATCCGTAGCTCGGAATGTGGATGTGGATTTCGCACTGCTCTCCCAGCTGAATGATTATTTTGCAGATGTTTCGCTGCCAGACTAGGAAACATCATCATTGCGAATTTAAGGTCCTGTTTCGCAGAAACTCCTAAGCGACTTCCAGATCTAAGTGCTTATTGATCGACTTCTGCTTTGAATACCAGGCTTCAATAAACTCACGTGCTTGCCGGCTTGTGGCTCTTCCGAGGATTTTGACGTGTTCCAAGTCGAATTGGTAGCCTTCGGCATCCATATACACGGACATAAAAGAGTTCTTATCATGACGGCGGTTGGTTAGGTAATTCATGTAGCCTTGTGCCAAGCTCTCTTCCTGTTTGTCTTGCGTAGTAGTTGTCAAAGTCTCGGTAGCATATGTTGTAGATTACACCAGATGTTTCCCACTTGCTAAGAATATCCTTCACTTTGAAGAGTTTATTTCGTGTTGTTTCTTTTGGTTGGTGGGCAACTTTGACTCCTATAGACAACAAAGTCTCGCTGCTATTCCCAAGATTCCGTTGATATAAGATAGCATGGTTTGATTTTCATTCGTTGCATTTGTTGAGGTGTGTTGTGTTGCTTATGGAGTTGCTGGGATTCTGTCTATTCATACATTTCAACGGCCAAATCTACCAAGAAATACGAGGAACGCCGATGGAATCGCGGTTTTCTGGACTGATAGCCGAAGGAATGATGCAGGCGCTAGAACGAATAGCACTCCCAATTGCCAATCCGAAACTTTGGGTGCGCTACGTATAAGACACGTTCATCATCCTCAAACACTCCGAATTAGAAGAGACACATGAGCTAATCAACAGTGTGTTCGACGATAGCCAATTCACGAGGGAAGAGGAGAACGATGGGCAACTACCATTTTTGGACCTTCTCATACGTCGGACTGGTTCAGGACCACTCGGAACGACGGTCTGTCAAAGTCAACACATAAGGACTAGACCTTCAACTACAGCAGCAATCATCCGGCAGTCCACAAGCGCTGCTTTGTGCTCTATGTTCAAACGAGCACGTACAGGTTGCAGCGCGCAGCAGCTGAGGCAGGCGGAAGAAGACTATCTCTTCAGCCTGTTCAAACGGAATTCGTAACAGAAAGGCTTCATTCTGCTCAGGTTGGCCACACATAAAGCGACACAACACACCACAACAAACGCTACGAATGAAAATCAAACCATGCTACCTTATATCAACGGAATCTCGGAAATGGCAGCGAGACTTTCTTGCCTATAGGAGTCAAAGTTGCTCAGCAACCAACAGAAACAACACGAAATAAACTCTTCAAAGTGAAGGATATTCTTAGCAAGTGGAAAGCATCTGGTGTATTATACAAGATATGCGAACGAGACTGTGACAACTACTACGTAGGACAAACAGGAAGAAAGCTTGGCACAAGGCTACATGAACAACCTAGCCAACCGCCGTCATGATAAGAACTATTTGATGTCCGTGTATATAAGGGTTTTCCAACCTAATGGTAATTACTCCCTAAGGGGTAAGGTGACATTTTGCAGGAGGTAAATATTAGTACGAGGATTGGGTCAACAATCGGTCGCTTAACAAGTTTAATAGCAAAATAATGAGTTTATCTGCAAACGTTTTTATTAATGTCTTCTAGATTAAATCGCGAAAATATTCATCGTTATATACATGTATCACTTATTTGCCTACTTTTTGCAGGAACCTTTCCTTCTGGAAAAATCGGCCTATAAGGAAACTTTTCTGCAATGGGGCTTCACCAATTTTGTCTATGAAAAGGTTGGGACGTCACAAGGTATTTTTGGAAGCAAAGTGCTCACGCTGGAGAGCATAAAACCCAGCAAATTTAAATGACATTTCGACCGAAGTCAATCTCAGTTTGTAGGAAACGATATTACATTCTTCAAACGGAAAGAAGCTGCGCTCAAATGTTCGTGCCTGGATATATCGGGCTCCTTTTTTCACTCATGTTGGGCGTCCGTTCTGGATTCCATACGTTGGTCCAAAAATTTGCTCGGCACTGTACATTCAGCCACTGCATAATGTATAGTTATGCTTTAGCAGTGAAAACTCTTCCACCTGTTTTGGTGGACACGTTAACCAAGGTAGTGAAAATAATAATGGTCATCCGCGGTAGTGCGACGTATACAAGTTTTCAAAGAGTTGTGCAATGAATTTGTAGGCAAATTCGACGTGTTGGTATTGCACACTAAAAGGCGTTGCGTATCACCATGCAGCGTGCAGCACCGAGTGATCGCGCTTCGAGAAGAAATTGGAATGTTTCCTGAAAGGAAGGAGCTGCATATGGGTAAGGTGAACGTCTTACACGTCATGATAACTGACAACATATTTATCTCCAAACTAGCATATCTTACAGATTTCTTCGGAGAAATAAATGCACTGAACCTCAGCTTGCTAGGAAATATGCTTAATATTTTAACTGCTCAGGATAAGGTTGCCAGTTTTATTCGTAAAATACAGCTTCACCAACGCAGAGCAACGGTTGTCGATGTGTCGATGTTTCCAGCACTATAAATATTGCCCGCTGGAAGAAATGAAACATGCGCTTTCCTAGATGTTATAACTTGCCACTTGTCATCAGAGGTCCATTCCATCAGCAAATATTTTCCTGATTTGGAAAATCACCAAGTAAATGCCTGGGTGCTAAGGCGCTTTTCAGTGAGTCAGGAAATCTTTCTGGGTACTGCCATCGAAGCCAAAGCACAATTCCTAGCAAGGCGCAAAGGTAACGAATTAAAAATAAATTTCCAAAGCACACCACTGGTAACATTTTGGATAAAGATAAGTGGTGAATATCCATTGCTATCGGAAAGAGCATTGAGGATATTGATCTCATTTGCAACAACTTATAGATGTAAAAGTTGCTTTTCGACAGTGGTTTCAATGAAAACAGAAGCAAGGAGTCAAATGAATCTGGATTACGACTACCGACGTGCATTAGCAGAAACTGAACCAAATATACCAGCCATTGTCAGCACTAAGCAATATCAACCGTTCCATTGACGTATATCGTCTGTTAATTACATACATTGTCGTACCAAACAACTGTTTCTTTTTTGATCGGGAGTTATTCCAAATAGCTCTTAGTTCTCGCACATAGAACCGAACGGCGCGATAGTAATCCGTCTGTTAGCGTTTGAGACGGAAATTGGGAGGGGGCGGGTTGATTATAGCAAACCCCATTTGTGAGCCTCAAAAATGTTAAGAATCGCCGGTGTACAGCAACGTGCGTTAAAAATAAGTGTGATACCGTTTTATAACAGTACCATCAAACTCGCGTTCAGGTCATCAGCAAGAATACTTTGAACGCGGGGTTCTTAATGAAAGAAACTCTTGCATTTTCTTTGCACTACAATGGGGGTCTCCTTTATTTGCATGATCAAAGGTAATTACATATGGTATTTATTTGCTCTAATCAAAAAGAATGCAGTAGTTGCCAGCTAATTGGCTTTAGAAAGTTTGGGTGTAAATGCTTAAAGTGAACCCGCCTTGGGAGTAACGGCCTCAAAAATGTTGGGAATCATTAGTGTATATGAATGTCGAAGGCCCCCAATTCGACTTGGAACAATTCAAAATCCTCGGAAGAGCCACAAGCCTGCAAGCACGTGATTTTATCGAAGCCTGGTATTCAAAGCAGAAGTCGATCAATAGGCACTTAGATCTGGAAGTCGCTTAGGAGTTTCTGCGAAACAGGACCTTAAATTCGCAATGATGATTTTTCCTAGTCTGGCAGCGAAACATCTGCAAAATAATCATTCAGTTGGGAGAGCAGTGCGAAACCCACAGTTTATCAGAATCAGAAAAGCTAGAGTTAGGACAACCACTTTTTTGAAGTACATTCGGCCCCATCCAGTCTGTAGATTTATATCGGAAAAATAAGTTACTTACCAACACAATTGAGGACACTGGGCCTTAATTTTATGCATCATTCTGTGCTTACTAACACTAACAGAGTAGGATTTTCTTGTTATCTCTGCTTATTTATCTCTGACAAATCGTGATGCCATCAAGTCTTTAATAAAACCACCACACATCCAGGCTTTTATTGAAATTAAGGTGTATATTTCTCGGCAAACACCATACGATCCATATTTGAACGTGAGTGTTTCGTTCAAAACTTTCCTACTGCTTTTGCCTCCTATTTTCACGAACTATACGGCACACAACTTCGTGAGAATTTTTCAGTACCGATGACCTCCCTCACTAATTCGCCGCATACCTTCACTGACCTGCACCCAGTCTACGGGCAGATTCATCCGCGACTTGCATCCGATACCCTTTCCCTCTTTCACCTTATCTTGTACTTTCCATATGTAACATCTATGACTGCGCAATTTACATACGCACTGAAAAGCTTTAGATGACCATTCAGGAAAGAATAAAAGAGTCTCATTGCGAATCATGCGTGTATTTATTCAATCAGAAGATACGTATACATCAACTTGGGATTACGGATGATGATGCACAATTTGGGATGTCTACTGCGTGTTGCCATACAGTCAAGATTAGCGTGAGTCTGCGACAATAAAAAGTAAAAGCTAAGCGTAAGTTACAGCAAAATATGACTGCCATTCTACGCACAAATCGAGCTGCTAGCAAATCAGTAAGGAGTCCGTAACCTGGTTGAAGGTGGGCTACACTCGGTGGGCATTAGATTAGTAAATGTGAAGGACACTTAAAAGGCAGAATGCCAATTAACGCGATATTCATCTAATACCTCAAATTTGTCTGGGCTAGGTGATCTTAACTTTGCAACCAAGACTATCCTAATTACGGAAAAACGATGAGTCAACTAACATGTAGATGACAAGGAGCTTTTTGAGTTCCTTGACATATTTTTGGTCAATACAACTCGCATTCTTTAGGTATTTAAATATAATCAAATTAGACACCAAATAAAAATTCATTTGCACGCGACTGAGAACTGGCATTTAAGTACCATGTTAACATAGTAACCGAGATTTCAGGCATATTATCGATCAAACTACCATTTTCGGAACCCAGGATTTAGTGGTATAACCCTAATATGTCACCTAATTTATGGGTTAATGCGATTGTACCCAGATAACAGCTGCCTTACGTGTTAGGTCCTAATAATCCAAGTTTCAGGGTGCGGTCCCCTAAGTCAACCCTCATTCTCGGCCTGGACAACCGGAATGTACCATGCCTAGACAACCTATGGATCCATGTCTCAACAATTCTTCGCTCGATCTTTTCGCTCTCGATCTATCTGCTCTATCTGCTCTCTCGATCTGCTCTCATCGGCCGAGGTGCAGGCGGCTGAACCTGTCGAAACACGTTTTACCGCACCACCGTTTAGTCACTTTATTCCACGTTTGTTCAACCCTCATTCTTGGTCTTCCCCCTTCGCTTCCGTGTTCACAAAACCGTGCCGCCTTGAGCGAACGTTCTCGGTATACTGGTCAGGAGTCTAGGTCCCAGGATGCACCAAGTTGTGTTAACAAGCCATTACTAGCACCAGGTTCCTAATTCCACGTGGCAACCATCAATGTTTAGTCGCTGATGCATAATAGATCACAGGACCGAAGGATGCGCACTACTGATGAGTCACAATAGGGCGAAACGGCCGTCTGGTGCTTTTCCGGATAGCTGGCCGACATATCTGAATTGTCGGCTTATTGCGACGAACAAAAATACTCACCAAAATCCTTCCACTTATAAATAAAATCACCTTCTTTGTTGCTTTTCGTTGTGGTGCCTCCAGCGTTTCTAGGTCGCGCTTGAACCAAGGTTGCCAAGTTTAAATAGCATAGTTTGGAGATGTCTGTCTACCAGTTTGGTATGACCTTTGCACCCTCGAAATGCAAGATTTTCCTGCAGGACTGGCTAGACGCTGTTCCTAATTTTACTATTTTAGGTCATTCATTTGAATTGGTGGACAACTTCTTTTACATCGGAAGCTGCATCAGCGCTAATGGTTTAACGGATGAGGTCTCCTTGCACGTTCCTAAGGCTCGGGTTGATTTTTCCAATCTCCATCATCTCTGGCGTCGTGGTGCTCGGAATGTATCTCCGAATGGCCGAGTTGAAAATGCCACAGTGAGAGTGGTTCTCCTCTATGACTACGAGATTTGGCCTGCTCGCGTAAAGGATGTTGAGGTCGTCTGTTTATGATCACCGCTGCCTTAAGATCATTGATGGCGTGCGATGGCAACACCACACTAAGAATAAATTTATTCGACCAAAAATTTTCAGATCAGGGAAAATTTGCCGGCCACTACGCAGCATTATTTCGCATTGTAGACTTTAGTGGCTTGGGGATGTTCGTCGTATGCCTACTCATCGCTTACCTCGCGGTGCCCTCTTTGCGCGTGCGCAGATGTCGGCTGGAAGCGAGATCAAGGTGGTCAACGTATGACTTGGGCCAGGAGCATGAAGCAGCTAACGTCAAAGTTAGCCGTGATTAGACAATCTCGTCTCCCTGGCTGGAGCGTGAATGATCCAGAACACACATGGCTGGACACTGTTGGATATGGCAAGTAATCGTGCACAATGGCGGATTTGTTGTTACTCCCTATTCCCATGAACAAGGATTTTTCCTCTATCTTCCTTTGTTTATTGTATTTTCCATACGTTGTGGCACTATGCCAATTGTACTATTGGCCATGTTGCAACTATATATATATATATATATATATATATATATATATATCACAAGGAAGATAATTAACAAGTGGGGTTGCCGACTACTCATTAGATGACCAGTAATTATTCTGTCAACCTGTAACTCACCTTTTGTAACCGCCGCCAAGCCATCAACAAGACCAACGTATTCGTTGAGCGTTTTGAAGGAATCTATTCAAACGAGAAGATAAATGATGATTTATATTAAATATTTACCATCAATCTAGTCTACTTTGATCTAATGCGGCTCTATGACCTACGCATTATCTTATTGTCCTCACATGCCATTTTTGGTTGCATTGTTTTTTGACTTCGTTGAGGCGAGCGCTAGCCGAAAAGTGTGTGATTCCGTGATTCCGTGAGTAATTTAAATACCTAAATCATTGTTTCACGGTTGCATAAGTTGTCACGTTGAACAAAGGTGTAGTGGCTTCGGCTCATATTCCAACCCTTCTGGTTTCAATGCGTTTTATCTCTAACTGAGGAGATCAAATGAGGTCGAAACGTGTTCTGGTGTGCAGTGTTTTCCTGTGAGCAGCAACCAGTTTCCCTCAACTTCTGTTATATATTGCATGAAGATAGTTTTCGCTTTATCTTTTGGCATATATGAGAGACTGGTGCTGACAGTCTTGACAGGATTTAGTAGAGTGGAAACATGGACATTTAAAGGGATACGGTTAAATTTATTCTTACAGATTATCTGATTAAGCCAGATACCTCAACAATCTTCAATTGTCCAGGTAAGATTTTTGCTACCTCCGTTATTTCAACGCATTATAGCGGTTCTCACATACTTAGCAGCTGTGTAGCAATCCGCCACTATGTGATGAGTTAGCAGCCTATGAATATGTGTACTGATTTGAGCAAGTAAATCTGGCTCACACTCCAAAGCAAATCTACCAAATGAAGGTTACATATGTTAGGTCTTTGTGCTGTAGCCTAATCACTGCCACCGTCAAACTGCCAACTTGCTGTTCACTAGGTTGCACTGTGTCTTCTTTCCGCTACAGTCTTAAAAAGTCAGTCATCTAGCAAGTTGGAAAGTATAGAATAGCTGGGACGAAGAAACTGTGCGCTGGAGACTCGCCTGGAGGTTACATTTCGTATTCTATCTGCTTTCATGCCGTCAACATTCGTTACACTTACAAAAGAACGAAAGCTGGTGCAACCAATGTTCACAGTAACAAACTTCATCGAATTCCCTCGTTAATAAGCTATGGAAGAAAAACCATCAACGTGAACCGATCAGATGTGCGCGTGATGGTTCCACCGAAATGGAAATATACCGATTGCTTTTTTACATGAGAAAGCAGTGCTACTTGGGCACTTGAACAATCTACAACAAAAATTTAGGATAGCCAATAGTTTGAGGCACATTGCCGCTTATGGTCAATTATTCCATTTTGCTTGCCCTATTGACGGTTGCCATTTAGTTAGCGCTAAGTATATAATGTCACACACATTTAGGGTGGTGAGTTAACTCTCAAATTATGCTGTTATCCGGTCAAGGTCATACACTTTTATTGTCCTTTAACATTATCCTTTAACATTGGAGACAAAAGTGTTTTAAACAGCCGAGTAAAATGCACTTCTGACGGCTTAACCGATTTCGACACGAAATGATAAAATGAGTTTACCTAATGTCCGTAGAAGTAGTGAATTTCGGCAAGCAGTTTGGGCAAATTCAAGCAGGGATTTCTGGTCGGACATGTAAACTTATCGCTCCGTTGCCTGTGCTATACTCTTGCCCCACTGTTCTTTTCTATGTTTAGTTTGTCTTCAGATTTTAACTATTCTTACACGGTTTTGGTTGCAATGACTTATCTTTGGATTTCAGTTCATACACTCATCAAACTCACGTGCTTGAATTCGTTGCTGGAAGCCAAAGAGTGTATCTAGTAGAGTCAATTCTTCTTTCGTCACTGGAAAATGAAGATGGCAATGCGGAGCATTGCAATGAGTTGAAATAGGAACCACATCAAAGTACACATTATTGTCTGTATTTGCTAATATGTTGCCTTGAGTATAACATGCTTACATATAATGCATATAGCTAATGCACAACAAGGCTATCTGAAAGGAAAGACAGTTTGCAACTTTAAATCTATTAAACAGTTTAAAACCAGCATTCCTCCAAAACGTAAAAGAATGTTGTGCAAACAATCTTTGCCATTAAGCTTGGCATGCTCCCTCTGGCTCCAGCCAATTGCTGGTCACTATGTGACACGAGCCCTTTGGTCACAAATTTAGTGACTAAACCAGTCTGTAAAATAGAGGCATGGGCAGTAAAATCAGATAATCTTTGCTTTGGGTTGTATGCAAATATCGAAATATGACCCATAGAGGACAGACAACCCAAAGACTGTGTTATGGATTCATTTGGCCGGCAGTCGGACCGAATTGATTAATGTGGAAGCAACGAAACTGGCGATTTAGCCCCGACAGATGTGAACCAATCATTTATTTTATGCAGTGAATAGCGTATGGATTTGGTGGTTAGCAGTAGTAACAGGCTTTATGGGTTTGGTACTTGCTTACCCCTTCCCAACGCGTTCTTTGTAATTGCTCTACTGAAGTTTCCTGATGTTGTTTGTGTCTGTACCAACTGCAATGACAGGGAGATAAAGACCAGCCGAAAATGTTACGCATGCCAGCGGTGCTCGTCAAACCGGAATAGCAATTATTGAGTTTTCTCCGGCGACGTTGAATCCAGTGCTTCTCTCAGAAATGTTCGCCTTGATATCTACGTCTACACAATGATTTGGACCCACAAATGTTTGAATGCTGCAGCAAATGTCTCTTTCATAGACAAAGTTTGACGTGTTACTGTCTGTCGCGAGTTCCCCAAACGTAACCAATAGTGAAACCTAGCTTGTATTAGAATAATGTGAATGCATCCGCAAGTTTATCTTCTATGGAAGACAAAAGCCGGTAGCTACAATGTGGCAGCGAAGCTTGTAAGTTCATCTTAACTGCATCGCCTTACCAGCTCTTTCATCATCACATATACATGCAACGAAGTACTCGGGAAAGTCTACTGGCCGACTGGTGTCCATTTACATGCAGCCGGGTTTCGATAATTTTTGATTACAGCCTAGCGCGTTATTGCTGCTTGGCGCGCCATCCGTTCCTACCTAATTGGACTATAGGCTAACTGACGTAGCCGGCTGATTTGCATTGGCGATTGGTCTGATATTGTGTCTCAATTCACCCCACGGATTGGCACGCTTCCTTAATTGTTGCTGTTGCAGTCGTAAAAAATAATACTAGTTCTTAAGCCTCGGGTGACCTACTGATATGCGTACATTTGCATGACAGTTACATGACATGAACTAACGGAAAATTGACTATAATTCAAAGTGACTTTTCTCATGCGTTTTAATCCCGTCGCAGATGATAAATTGTACGACAGATGAAGCCTATCCTAAAAGGGGTTTCCCATAAATTCGACTAACTGTAACCTGATGCATTCTATTCATGGGTAGTTAGTAGCTCCATTTAAAACAAGGGCTACAACTTGTCATTATCTTTCTTTCAGAAGTAGAGTTTTATTCCAGCCTATCCCCAGTAAAACAATGGACATACAAAGAGCTGTTTATTCCGCTATTTGCTAGACGGTTCTAAAATGACTAAGTAAACAGAACTTGAGTATAAATAAAATTTGTGAATACTCATGAACCACAATTTTGTAAGCAAGGCATCCATTATTCCGGAATGTGTAGCGTAAAAATAATCATATTCTTGAATCAGTTGACATCATGGCCCTCACCAAAATTCGGTGTTGTTTCAACGGCTAAAACACTGATGATCTAATAATACTATATTCCACCCATTTTGATATTATCCCGCATGCACGGACACCCCATGGAACTATCTAAAAGGTTGCTTTAGCGACGCTAAGTATCCATTTTTAAGTTTCTTAGAACACTTACGCGTGTCTCGATCCAGCATATCAAATGCCGTTTGAAGCGCAGCGTCTTGCCGTTTCAACACATCTACGAAAAAGAGAGAGTGTACAAAACTTGTTGACTTTGGTAGCTGAATCAATTATGCCCAAAATTTACAAAGTGGCTGTCGTATGTCGCTGTGTACTCGTATATACAAACCTGTATGAAATATAACGTAATGTTTCTAATCTTTATATGGCAACATACACGCTAATGAACGTAAGGTCGAAAGATGTATCCCTCATATGCGTTCATTTAACCAGTTTCGCCAGAAAGAATAAACCTTCTTTGCTATGTGTATATCGTGTGTTTTCACTCAGCTATTATGCTTTCTCAAAATATCTTTTCTCCTGAAAGGACTATGTTAAAACACTCGTTCTGCTAAAAGTGCCTTATACTTAATGCTCTAATTTGTATAATTAGTGTGTTAGGAAGTCAACATTGTACTCTCAGTTTGGGTTAGTGATATTTTTCCGTCATTTTATGTTCATTTGCCGGACGTTAACTCAGATTGTTGGAGCTATTATTCAGAAGCACTGGCTGTATACATGGACTTCGACAGGCAATAGGAACCGCTTTAGTAGTTTGCAATCCCAATTATTCGTTATTTGTGTCGAAGAACGTTGCTATCAAATCTAAAGTTAAAGCTAGTATTTTCTGGCAGCGCTAAGTACGGGGTCCTAGTGGTACTGATGCTCTTTTTGTTTAACAAGTAAAGTGATTACGACTTCATCCGTGGCTTACAATGTTGCTTCCGGTAAAATTGTAATGTCTATTTATTTTAGATTGGATCATTTTAACCGAGTTGGTATATATATCATTCAAAGTGAATGACAGTCCAGATTAAGATTTTACGTTGCAATCTGTTCAGCAAACTAGAACGTATTCACAATCTTTATGAAAGCGTTGCCCACAACGGGAACTCAACTGTTGCTCTCGTAACTAATGCGTCTGAGTGGTTCCACCCTTTATCTTTCTGTACATGCTCAGCACGTACGTGCGGCCCCAATGTAAATATGCGGATTTGGTCTGACAGCATTGGTCGAAACGTGGTCGGTTTGCCCTGCAGACCATATTGGGAACTGCAAACAAAACGTCAGGATTTTGTTCTGTCTGTCATAACAACGGACTAAAATCACAAAGTGGGAGTATACCATTTGACTTCAATGAGATAACCTCATCCTGGAGTATCAGAAGTTTGGAAACCATCTACACGTTTTCTCTATGTGCTTAAACTTAGCCGCTGCACAATAATGTAGGGCTGTTAGCTTAAATAGCTACTTAATACAGCCGGATAGCATACAGCCGGAATTATATTTTGCTCAGAATTGTTTAGCCGAGGAACACTTTTCCGACTTCCATCATTTCAGCTCTCTTGTTACTTATAGAAAAAGCGAACCTATCATGCAGTATACCATCTGCATCATGTGAAATGAATTCCGCACATCGATTGACAACAAGACGCAGAATGACATTGCTCTCACCAACCCTCACGAAATCGAGGTCAGCAAATATACTTGTGTGGTAATGTGGAAATTAAGGATTTGTCCACGAATGCATGTTTTTATTTTGCTGTCATCTAATTTAAACTTATGTAATGTACACGGCCTATCCTACAGGACTTGTCAAGACTCCACTTTTATCCGTATTATTCAACCGTTACATTGTTCCCCAGCTTCATAGGGAAATGTGTTATAACTAATTTTCTCCGTTTCCTAGTTTAATCACAAAGATGCCATTTTCACCTAACAAGTACTGTGTTGATAATAGTAATAAACGAGTTTGATTGCGGCTAGTTGTGCGTGGTAAAGTTAACGATGTGTTTTCCTCAATCACAAACTGATTATGAAACGAGTTCGGGCAATGGAGCTTTCGATTTTTCCATCAGGGAATCGTAGGTTTGCAGTTTCGTCAGTCACTTGAACAAATGATGCCAGACACTCATATTTCTGGAGATTGCTGCTAGGTAAACTCACCCGAGATGTACGATTCCATGTAGGTCTTCAAGTTTGAAAGCAGTACGGTTGCGTGCTCAACTGCTACAAAAGGGAATAAGAGGATTTTTCGCAGTAACCCCGGTAATGTTGTGTTAGACAAAATACGGAGTAGCTTAAAAGCCACTTAAAGAAACTGGCTTCAAACTATGAATAATATTGTATATCAAATATAATGTGCATTCTATCAACTATCGCCATGTAGTAAACTGACAGAAGATGTATTTAAATTGCTATTGTTACATTACAAAAATTATTTCTTACAGGTACGGCTTTAGAAGTAGGAACCTCAATCCTGAGCACTAGAAACACTCATGAACATTAGCTTATCGATTAATTATTCGTGACTGCATTTACCGAATGGCTGTGTTGTCAAACGTGGAGACTCAGTTTTACAAATCTGTAAAGGTTTGCTCTAATTGTTTTAGTTCGTGATTTCTGCTACTATTCGTTAGTCAATTGCAGCTGCATCAACATTGGATATCCTTGATGGATCGCCGATACCGAAAATAGTAGGGATGCACTGTGGCTTTTCGGCTCAAAGCATATGACTAAGAAATTCATGCACGATCAGAGTACGTCGTACTATGAGGCACAGTGATATAATTTATTTTGCACATTGGTTTTAATATGAGTCTATGCAAATAATTTATAATAGTAATTTGGCAACCTGCGTTAAACTTGCCAGAAGGCGAATTTGTAGGTATTCTTGATAACAAGTGCTTTTAAGATGATCTAGGATGGCGCGATTTTGGCTGGTTTTCTAACCTAGACATCATTAGGAATGGTGGCTTTCTGTACAAAATCCAGAAACTAGAAATGAATGCGTGATCTAAACGTAGAATAAATAGATGAAGTAGTCTGTTTTTCCTCTATGGAAGAAAATAGCTGGCCGGATGTTAGCAATTGACAAAGCCATGAATCTAACTTTCGTAAACCATAAAGTATTTGTTGGCACGCTAATGATGTAAGCGAGTTTGCAGTTTTATCTCGAATGCTGTCAGTTAATGCAAGGATTTCGAAGTCGAATTTGGGGAACCCGATGTGTGGTTGGGTTGCGACGCGCAACCCTTATTGAAACCTCGGTTCACTTTTAAGTAAACCTTAGTCATTCCGCTCGCGAGGAACGTATCCGAGATGGAAATATTTAGCTATTGCTCCTCCAAACACTGGCACACTACGACCGCGGTTTTGTCCTGGTTTGGACTCATCACGTGGCGATGGCTTGCGCTGGGTTGAAGCTCAGAGCCTAGTAGTTCATGGCTGACGCCCTGAAAACTATGCCACTGAGATCCGCGAGCAAACCTTGGCACAGCGACAAGCAGTTCTAAGTTGTAATTATGGAACCTTGATATCATTTAATTTTTTGACCTTGGCACTTCAGAGCTTATTTAGGCAAGCCATTTATAGGCAGACTTACGTCTGTTGGGCTCAACTAGAGCAGACATCCGTTGAAGAAAACTTTCGGTGAGCTGTTCTGATCCTAAAAGGCATTCAAAAGTACATATCTTATCCATATGAGAGGAAGTGCACATTAAGCCATACCTTATTTCTTAACATTGCTTTAGAAGTAAGGTAAAGTACAGTTTCCATACTCACCCTCAGCTATCCGTACCCATATTTGCAATGCGTTCTCGAAATCTGATGGGTTCGATAGAGAAGCTGTAAGTGGAAATGGAGCACACATACTCCGCCTTTAGAATGTGTATTACACTGTTTTAGGTTAGCAAGTTAAAAACGTAGGACCGATATACTGTGATAATATGAACGGATGACTCTAGCTGGTTTGCTACTTGTAATTTGACTAGTATGCACTAATCTTGCATGGAATAAGAATGCAGGGGAGTGGTGATCAATGATTGATATGGAAAATCGGGCCTAATGCATTACCATACGCTCAACACTGGACAATATTTGGTGTCGCCCACACTTACATGAAATTTGGCTGAGTAATCTGACCAGCGACCGATAGTTTTTATCATTGAATTCATTCAACACTGAAATGACGTAAAGAGAAAATATGACTTATTAACCTAGATAGCCATTTACTGAGCAAATATATAGCATAAGCTTTATTTGATTTTGGAGATTGGAAACAAAGGAAATTTAGCTACTCCGATTATTTTGCGGCGTAAAAGGTGCAGGAGAGAAAGAAATAGGTGGACCAGAATTTCCTTTCAGGATGGCATCCGCAGTCTATCGATTACATGTTACTGATACTGAATATGAAGGGATGCGGTGTGTAATAGTTTTTCTATACGCACAGCGGTAGTTGGCGCTGCGCCTAAGGGCGAACGATCAACGCTGTGTTTCAATGTAACTTGAACGTATGCTGCTACAAAACATAACGAAGAAAAAGATATATAGCTCATAGCTTTGTTATCACATACAGCCTATGGAAACAAGTTGCTCTTGTTTACTGCATCCTTTGTACATTATAAGCGTTAACAAATTTAGGTGAGGTTACATTGACCAATGGATAGAATTAGGCTGGGATGCAATAACTGATTTCACACTAGCCAATCTTTTACGCGTTTTAGCCAGTTGTTCCTCGTCTAGCCGTTCGGCACGCTCTCTCTGATGAGCGCAACAGCACATACGCCTGCCAAGGCGATTTGCTAGTAAACAGTGATCCGAATGATTGATTATGGTAATGTCAGACTAGCATAAACAAATGCGTCATCCAATTCCAACGCCCATTTTTAAGCTGTCCAGCAAGCGGAATTGTTCAAATTGTGAAAGGTGCTGTAGAACTGTTCAATCAGTAATTAGTACCTACGGATTGTAGCAGTCACATGTAGCTGAGCGGCAATTGTTTTGAAAGCTTCTGCAGATTAATTACCAAGTAACGAACTGAGACATCGCACACCTTGGCAAGCAATCGTTGGCAGTAAGATATTATTTTGCGTAAATAATATCTCACAACGTATTTCCTTAATAGAATTTATAGAATGGCTCCTAACAAGATGTCAAAACGCGTATCTGTTCATCAGTGTGTAAACTGAGAATTAATACAGGACCACGATAGAAACGTTCTAGTAGCTGTTGATGGAATGCCAATGGTGTCTCTTGTGTCCAAATCAAGTAAACACGTCCAGATCCGAACGTTTACTTAGCTGAAATTTGGTTGCATTACTTATCAAGACCATACAATTTCTCGAAGGCATATCACTGGAGTGTCTCGACACGGTTCTCTCCTATCACTGCATTCTATGTGTGACGGTTTCATCCTGGTTTGGATTCATCATGAAGAGATAGCCGAGCTGGGAGTGGAACTTGGCGCATAGTGCCTGGTGTCAAACGCTGTGCTCACTTGACTAATGAGCTCTGCAAGCAGTGCCAGACTCAGCGGCTGGATGTTGATTATTGGGTTTTGGAGCATCTGCCGTGTGTCTTGGATTGCGACATACAATCTCAATTGTAACCTCGGTAGACTTTGAAGTCAGTCTCCGCCAATATGAGCACCGGAACCGTCACCAAAACGTGGGTTCTTGTGTGGTTGTCTACCATCCCTGCACTCCACGACCGATGGTTTCCTCTTGGTTTGGACTCATCAGGTACAGATAGCAGAGCTAAGAGTGGTCACGGTGCCTAGTGCTTGGCAGCTATCGCCATGATCACTAGATCAGTTAACTACGCTAATAATGTTTGACAGTGCAATTAGAAGTAATGAGTAGTGGGGATTTTGTGTGCTTATGGATAGTTCACCACGGTGTACTCGCAGCCAGTAGGCTTAGGCTAGAATGGAAGAGAACCAGACGCAGGCGTTCCAATCTTCTGTGTCCCGTCAGTAGTAGGCCTTCCAGCGGACACCTGCCGGGTTCCGCCCCCATGACATCCGGATGCCAGCAGCTAGTGTCAGTTCGGTTAGAAGCCTATTTTCGGGTTTTGGAGCACCCGAAATGCACCGATGTTACATGTAAATTAGCAGTGTTTCTGAGTAGCGAATGTGGACAAATTAGTTCTCCTCTACAGGTTAGTGTAATACGTAATTTCGCTTGCGGAACCGGAGTGTCACGCATGGCAAAAATGTTTGCCTTTTGACATCAATGTAGCACGTTGGGTCTTAGATATCCGCAACAAATGGGCTGTTTGGTTAATTAATTTTTCGAAATGCAAAGTGCCTGACATTCGGTAAACAAACTTCCATGAGGCAAACGACAGAAGAGCTATACCGGGTCTCAGCTTGTCTTGTTTCTGTCTGCGATCCACAATATTGTCTTTCATTGTCGGCAATAATTTTATGATAGATCGCTTTCTTTTATGCAGGCAATTGTCTGCAGTCGGTGACATGTCCAAGTTACGGCATTAGTATCGGTGAAACCGCCTCCCGTCCTGTCTACACTCGTTTTGCCATTTGCTGTGTTGATGTTTACGGCAGTTATTTCGAATGCGCTTTTATCACATTTAGTTTAACTGGGTCAGACTATCGTCTAATGCAATCCACAGAAGTAGGAATAATCAAAGATGTATATGATTTTGCCCACAATTCTAGAAAGCTCAGGGTGTGACACAAGGATCCCCACTTTATGTGCTGCGAAAATGGTTCGCTGAACCTAAGGCTATTTCGGTTTCGTTAGTATTTGGCACGTTTTTGTGTAATTTAAAACATTTGTATTGCGTAGAAAAGTAAGTTTGTGCTCTGAGTTGTGCTGAACTTTGTGGCGCTTAACATAAAAGAACGAAACCAAATAGAGCTGTTATATTTCGTATCGTGCCGAAAAGCTGGTTTATGTTATTCGATATTATATAGCGGCGATCAGTTCTAAGCTGGTAACACGCAGCCAATGAGAACTAGGGATCTCAGAAAAGATGCTGCTTTAATCAAATAGGTTCGCGTCAGAGCAGTGCAATAACCGATTTTTTATAACACGCTAACACGCCTAGTTACCTATCGTCTATGACAGCAGAGATGACGAAGACATAACTGATTTTCCACGTTTGTTGTAGTGGAGGTTTACACGTCACAACTGCATATATTGTAACTCACTTTTTATGAACGTTATAGCCTGATTCGATAGTAAAGGAATAGCTTGATACAGATTACTGTAGTCTGAAAAGGAAGAACGCATATGGTGCGATTTGTGCGATAAAATCTTCTGTGAAATGATCACAGTTATGTACAGCTGCGCATAGATTCATCATCTCATAGAAAACGTAAGAGTAGTACGTTGTTTTTGCTGAAATTAAGTTGAAACGCGTGTGTAACGGAGGTCCTTGAACATCTATCAAGAACAGCCAGCGATACAAACTTGGTTCCACAAGGTATCATTTATTTCACCTTTTCAAATCAATACACAAAACAGGAAATCCCTTTTCTCGTTACCAAGACATGTTACTTTTTGTCAATAATGTTACGTCATAGACGGAAATTAGTAGTAGTAACGGGGAACATCGGATTGATGATAATATGCAGCGAGCTTACCTGGCTGAGGGGTAGTATTCGAAACTGTAGTGGTTGCATTTTTCGGCTTTTCTGTTATTGCTACAAAGCAGAACACCAGAAACAAATGGACTAGGAGAACGGCAAGCATCTTCAGAATGTATGTAAGGAACATCGCACTTTCACCATTTGTCACAAAGCCGATAGGTGACTTGAGATAAGTGATGTAGTTAAAATGTTGGAGGCGATGAGAAATCTATATGAAGTTTGTATGAATCGATTGACAATATTGGTGTTGGTGGGTATTAAGCGAATTGCTACCCGCTTGAAGTAAAGGACTCGAAGCCATCTTCATGTGAGGCATGAAATCTTTAATGAAGATGCAGGTGAGGTTTAAATTCTCATCGCAGATTACCACGAAGTTCATGGGTACGACTTCAGGATTTAAGGTCTGTCAAGGAGATCAGTGGTTGCCTCTTTCCTGTACGTAAGTTCCCAATTGCCAAATTTTGTATATCTTTCCTGTCATGCTGTACATAAAATTAACCTAATCGTCCCCATTATGATAGAATGGATGCTGATGTGTTTACTTAACAAAAGCAACATAGGGTGATTCGTTGGAGAGTAGTTTATTTGAGTACGGTTGACTCATACAGTCCGTAGGGTGTACAGGATCCTCCATGTTCCCAGCATATGCATAATTGAGTTTACAGACTTACAAAAACATTATTGTCATACAAATACTTTGAATACATGCAATTTAAATGATTTACTGAGTTGCTGTTCACCTCTATACAAATGTTAGACTACCGAGAGCAGAAAATCGTCATCAAAATTCAAATCGAGTGTATTTAATCACTTGCGTAAGGCGCCGAGATTGGAACTTGTCAGCGAATGATTATTAAACCTGGCTTACCACTCCCGATATTCATGCTGTGCTAACCTAACATCACTCCTGTTTACCCACGATACATAGGGGACAGCGTCAAACACAAAACGAAGCATTGGCATATTAGCCGTTGATTGCAATCAGCACTGTTAGCGTTGAGTTGACATGGCGACGTTACAGAAACCCTTTTAAGCGCATAATTTAGCGCTTATTTAACACGAGATGGAACTGGATGTTTATCGTTTTGTTACATACGATCGTATAATATTCGCGGGTATCAATTTACTGTGAAGTATTATGATTCTGCATTGAACAAAGCTTGCTAAATTGCTGCAAGCTTCCACACAATAGCCTTAAGTGGAAACATCCCATTCAAGTTGTTCGGTATCCATCCGCTTCTTGAAGAATACTACCTATATCTGCAACGATCACTTCGCACGGTGATGATTCTTAGCAAATATTTGACCCTGACTCATTGACTTAATTCTTGGCACTAAATACTATCCATACCGTAACTCAGAAAATCTCGCTTGTATTTAGTCGACAATACATTTCTCTGAATTTCATACCTGATGTAGCTTTATAAGCGATTATTGACGGAAGATCATCTAGAGTTTGGCTTTATCACACGGCTGCATTATTGTGTTTTGCGCTATATATTTGAAAACCCCACCTGAATGGGTTTATGTTCGTTCAGTCTAATGAAGGGCATTAAAAATAATTCTTAACCGTTACGGTGATTCAAAATCCAAATTTGCAATTCTCACCCATTAAAACCTAAAGAAACTTTGATTGCAATCGGATTAAACTCCATGAGAGAGTTCATTAAAGTGTCTTTCATTCAGCTTTTTTTTACTGTGGTTGCTGAATAACTTTGACTGATACTGAATCATTTGGTCATTCTCTATTCATATGATTAGAGATGGCCATCCCTTAGAGAGAGCGATTCCTAACGAGGCATAAATAAGTATGACCCTTATCATTTTGATCCCAACTGAATTTTCACGCACATACAGTTTTGTGAACTTAGCATCAAGGTTAACTTTTGCTAATAGTACAAAACAGTCTGGTTGTAAATGGCTGCAGGTTTTTTGATCAAGAAGCAAACGATGGGTAAAAATAATAATTAAGGTTAAGTTGAATGTTATCTACATCACTTGACACTAATAAAACTGAACCTTTCTACACAAGCTTACAACATAGAGCTGAAGCGAACTAGATTAAGAAGTTGTACTCGCCTATCGGGGATAAGGTAAAAAGTCTAACCAAGACCAACATCGAATCTCTCTTCCTTAATGAAGGGACGATCATTCGAATACTTTATACAATCTAAATTGTCCACACTGCGGGACACAAATAGAAGTTAAGTGTTAAGATATAGAATAAAAGCATTCCGTCCCCCTTACTTTGCGGCGGTTATTTTTGGCTTCTCAGTTGTAAAAATACATGAAATTCGGAATAACAACCAACGTCCTTAACCTCTCCCTAGTGTTTTATTTTGACTGTATGTTAAATCGATCCACTTTATCTCTAAACAACCGGGAGGTACACTAAAGAATTAGTTAGGTATGAGCTACACAGTGTATGCAAAATAACGACGTGGGATAGCTTTAACATATTAGGGCTTTGAAAATGCCTCGGTGCACAGCAGCACATTTACAACTATTCTTAGATATAACTGCAAATATATGAGCAAACACCAGTGTTTAGGACCTTCTCACATTGAGTTTGCACACGTGTCATTGTTATTTGATTGCTTCGCTTAATGCAAGTAGTGGGAAAAGAGAAAGCTGTACTTGGTTCAGATTTCACTCAAGCTTCCAACTTATTGTGTGAGTCTCTAGTGACCTGTCCCAGCCCCATTTCTCTATGAAATGTGTAAACTTTAAAGCTTCTATAAGTTGGCCACTCTAGAGACTGGACTAAAGTGTTCAATATGCAAATGTCTGGATCCCTAAGGTTTACAGGGTGGACGTGCCACCGAAAAAATAAAACAGTTAAATTACTGAGGGGCTCAGGACATAGTTGGTTAACTTTGCTGGTATTACCGTAACTTCAGCAACTGGGTCATGGATGTTTGCCCACTGAGGTTATCGTGTAGTGTCGATTCGGCAATTTTTCAAACAACAATACTCACTCCACGTGACATTCTCTGGTTCGTACGGAAAGGCGTAAGTAAAATCTGTGATACAAGAGAACATAGAGATATTTCAAAGTGTAGTTTTTACCAGAAGAAGTACGGTGCTTTATCATTTTATTAGAAAATATAAAAATGGAAGCAAAATCCGGCAAATTGAAGCTGCATGTCCCTTCACTAACGCAGTTATGGGCTGTAATGAGCATTCATCATGACTTCCATCATTTAGTTCAGTTGGGAAGTTTATCTCTAGGAAGACATTAGAACTGAAGCCGGTTGAGCAATAACTGTATTGTCCTTTCTCTAATCGTGATATTGCTTCGCGACGTAATAGCAAATTGAAGGTATCTAGATAGACTGAAGCGAGTTCGCTGGGATAACTAATTGTACTTGAAAAAGAATCATAATTTATTTGCAATTCAAAAGTTTAAATAGCATGAGTTGTTGAAGTTGATTAACTTTCTTAGGTTTGTAGACGAGCAGTTGTTTGGAGCTAAGTTCACTTGGAGTTTTGACATCCTTTTTTAACAAGCAAATAGCAAAATCTGCAGAAGCACAAACTCATTTCCAAGGTTATGTTCCAAAGCATAGTAGAGCCCTTGACGTTTACTTCCTCCAGCTGATTCATAAATTGCAATTAGTGAAAATATTACAGTAACCTGATCATGAAGAAAGCAGCACTGTGTGTGGAGCTCAGTTACCTGAATAAAGGCGATCATGTGGTAAGAGTAAAAAGTGAAATGTTGTCATAGCGATAAATCAAGTGAAACGCTTCCACCTCAGGTAGAGCACAAACTCTCAAGGGGAGAAGCTTTTTCACCATGCTGCTTCTTCTCCCCTCAGGGAGGTTACCTTCCGTAGACCTGTCACGAGTTTTCCAAATAAACTTGTTACTTACGGCCTTCCCTCTTGTTTCCACAGATAGTAATATGTCAGTGTGCATTCGGTTTTAACATTCTGAGTTGCTGGACTGAAAATGCTCTAATTTTGCACTTTAGTTTGTTTTGTGGATTCCATGCCATCTCATTTCGTTTGCTGGAACTATATTTTGGATTCCGGACACACAGTTACAGCAACCATAATTAAGATTGTGGATATTGGTTTATCAACATGTAGCGCAGTTGCTTGGTGTGTTCTAGGTATTCAATCAAGGTGACATCTTTATTGCACTAGAGATGAATCCTCATCTATGAAATTAGAACAATCTAGCAACTATCAACCTAGTGCGATAAGTACCATATGATCCGCCATCCACTGAAGCTACCGTGATGGGATCCTTATCTCAAACGCATCAAATCTTTCAGTCAACTTCTGCATGTTTTTATACAGTATCATCGACTTAGCAACGAAGCGTTCAATCATTACCTATCGATTAATTAAAGTCGTATCTTATTTCCTATAACTCCAAGATGAATGCATTGCGTGCGGAGCACTCTACTCGCTTCAATTACCAAGGCGTACGTCCAAAATATCAATGAATTGTTTGGTGTTCACCAGCAATACCTTTCAGAAAGCTTTAAGAAATCATGGGCTAAATCAATTTTGGGAGGTTTATTACACGATCGCGAATAAAATACTTCAGCATCCAGAAGCTTGCACCCATGAGTTAAACTACCAAATGAGAGTAATTTAAGGACGTGGTCCATCAAGTTTGAAGTAAAATAGCATAGCTTGATATATATTAAGTACCTTTACCCTTCTTAGGAAATTTGGTGTTATGCGTAAGCACCTACGCAGTGTCATATGAGTTCTACTCTTGTTGGGGACATCTGATGTATGCGAATGTACAACTTTCTAGAAAATCACCGCCATCACCTTATCGTGTTATCTGTCTCCTGCCCTGTATAATCCTCAAAGATAAATGTTAAATGTCTTTGTGTGATCTTTAAGATCAGTTGAGTAGGTAAGAAAATTTATGCACAGTGTCTCATCGAGGTCATCTAACGTACCAGATAGCACGACCATCCAGATTAATTTTGAGACGGTAAAATATTATATCGTAAGCCAGATTAAATGCTGACGGCGGAGTTGGATATGAAAATTCCATTTCCTATTTCATTGCAGCAGTGCAGCCAACTGGGAGATAACTCACTCCTAACATGCATATCATTTCGCATAACTTGCGAAACTTACCCAAATCTTCGATGCTTCCAACGAACTTGGCTGAAAACGAAAGCAAGAACGACATGCAGTAATCATCCGTATGTGCCTGATGTGTAACAGCCTAGCCTGACCAAAATCTCATTGGGGAGCTTCGGAATTCAATTTAAATGCCTATGATTGCACAAAGCAATTCGGGTAAATACAAACCTTTTGACTTAGTCGCTCATATGGAGAAGAAAATTATCATCTTTAGCTGAAAGCCATTACATTAAGATTTGCACTGTGCGTAATCTTACTGCCAAACTTTGTTGGGATGCAAACACATCTAAGTCTATCCATCTGTGCCAGATTTAAATTACACTCAGAAATAACACTTTTCCTGCACATGCTATTATTACATTACGGCGGTCAAAGCTTAGTGTTCTCCTGCCTGTCGCACAGCGCAATCATTTACTACTTTGTTTAATATTTCCATTACATAAAGCGTTTCTTATTTATTCAGCTAAAAGGAAGCGCAGAATGAAAAACTTGACGTATAGATGAGTAATCTCAGCACAATATCTCCATGTCTGACTAAATAACATATGCAAACTTATGATTCCACGGATTTAGATAAAATTATTGAGTTTAAATTACTACCGTTACAGTATTTATTTGTCAACGCCAGCAGGTAGCGAAAACAATGGAAGACACAAAACCTTCATCTTGCGTACTTGGCGTGGTAGATCACGTCATCCAACGAGTTCCACATTTGCAACCAACATCAATAAAAGCTAACACCTTGTTTAAATTGTAATGAGGAGTACAAAGTTAACCTGTCAATTCAGGACTAACTTGCAGGTTGGCACTGTCGTCACTAACAGGCAACATAAAGTATGCAATCTAAAATAGACTGCAAAGCTTTTTAGTATTTGCTCTGGCTGTCTGTCAATTTGCTTACATAATTATTGCATATATTCTCAAGATGATCTGACCGTTTGGAATTCACTTTTTAGTTATACTCGTCAACCTTGTTTTAAGTAGTCGTATTAGGCACTGGTGCTTGGCCAAATGCGTATCTATGTCATCATCTTACTAAAACTGTTAACCGATAGGCAAGTCTAGTTAAAGATATATAGCCACTTGCTGGTCATTTATGGAATTGAGGTCAGCTGGATCTAGGCTGTAAAAGCGCTATTGATTGTTGACAGCATAAAGGCAGTTTTGTCAGGAAATAACGGGGATAAGGCAATTGTGTTTCAATGACGTCGAAAGCAGATGGTAACCTCGTATCCCCAAATTGATTTTATGTTTGATATCACTAACGAATAGCTGTGTTAAATTTCGGTAAATACAACATATTTGACCGCAAAAAATGAAGGTCTTATTCAACTTGTTAAATTGTAAATGGTATTTTGTTAATATTAGTGATTTATCCTTGTCTACCAAAGATGTTACGCAATGTACTTTCATGCACTGGTATGCAATCCACTGATCGACATCCCCACCACGAGCCTTGAAAGTTACTCCCCAATTTTAATTCTTGGACGTCCATTCTGTACATTCTGTTGTGCGGCTCCAAGAAAAAGGGTAGAGCTCCGATGCTGCATAAAACATCTTACCAGTGCCCATCCACAATTTGAACCACAGGCTCTTACTAATCTACTCAATCACCAGAATTGACCATGAACCCAAGTGCCACAACTTTAGTTTCAGAAACTGCATTCACATTATTGTTCATGTAATCTGATCTCCGATGCTGCCAACTCAGAAATAGTTAGGGATAAACGGAAACTAATATGTTTCCAGTGTTAAGAGCAGTAAGCGCATATAATTACAGTTTTAAACGCTTTTGCTAAATGGGTAATAGCAACAACAGCAGCCTAGTACTTTATTTCTAAAACGGTGGAATGTAGGTTTAGGTGAGCAAATGTTACATGATTGTTTTTCGAAAGATTCTGGTGAAAGTAAACTTCTTTGTTAACGTGGAAAGATTGTAAAATGGAGGAAAATTACTTATTGCTGTACTGAACTTTCCTTCATAGGATGCTAAGATGTGAATTTTATGTCATCGAAACCATTTCATTTAGCTGACTAACCATTTGCAATCGAAATGATGCGAAAACCCTAAGAACTTGCTAGAAGCCATTAACCGGTGGCCGGTGTGAGAAACGGCTTCCGTCACCGTTCCTTTTCGTGCTTTTGCCCTAAAGCCTCCGTCAGCAGCTGTTCTTTTTATCAGTTATTTTTTAACATCTATAGTTACATGGGTTGCAGTAATAAAAGGGGAACAGGTAGAATTAGTACTTAATTGAGGTATATTTTCTTTCCAGTACCCTTCACTATTGCACGCTAAAAACTTATTTGTGTTGTAGTTTTGGAAAACTTTATTTGTTCAATACGTCAGGGTGCTGCTTGTGCATTTGTGTGCGTAACTTTAAATAGACGGAAGCTCCCATTCGCGTTATGGTGGCTCGGCGGTAATAGTAATATTGGATTTAGTCGACTGCGTCGTTTCACATGCTTTCGTTAATTATGCTACCGTTTACTCTTGTGTTGTAGCTGGCAATCGCCTTGATATACCAATTACTCCACACAGTTAGTTTTCTTCTAATGCCCCCTGGAATTGCTGTGGTCCAGAAATGCATACTATATAATTCCAAAACCGGTATTTATGTAAGACAAACATAGATTATCAGCCTAACTTAACTTGTGATAACATGAAGCGATCACACTTTAAATCCCACAGAGTAGATACGTTGAAGTTACACACCTATTTACCAGGAAATTGTTAGCATTAATAAATCTACTAGTCCAATCTTTAGTTGAAACTTCAAAAATTATGACAATAGAAGTATGAACTAGCAGATGAATCAAATAAACTAATCCCCGGTGGACTTAAGAGAAGCCTGTTAAAATAGGTTATTTCTTGAGCCACATATGTGAACCTACCTTCGTAGTAGGGAATAAGACTGTTGCACAATACGAGGAGAACAAATAGGCTGATTGCAACCATGTTGCTCACTAAAATACATGTGTCCAGTGGGCCCTCTTCCAGTATTTATAGACCATCCGGGAATGCAAAACTGAGTCCAGTTTAGACGGAATTGCGCATAAGCAATCATCTTCGGATGAAAAAAATTGATACGGCAATGAGAACTTGACAATGAAGGTAGGCCCTTTCTAAAAACGTTCCTAACGGAGAGAAAAATTAAGGTTTGTTTGCTTTGTGAGTTAAGAAGTAGCTTTCGTAGGCTGCCGAACTTTCTCACTTATTTCATGTAACAACTCTGGAATATGCGCTGCTGCCGCAGTTTTTATACTTCTGATGACAGTTGGAGTCTGAAAAATGGAACGCTGTTCCTTGTATTGCAATGCAAGGAGTGTTGTAACTTGGCCTTGTTTCGACCCCTGAACATTTTAACAATAGGAGAACATTTTTAGAAATTGAGTTATTCCATCTAGAATTATGAAGATAAACAAACGCGCATGCACCTTGTGTTACTGATGAAACTATGAGATGAATTCGTTTGCTATAAGATGAAAGTATGCATCTAACTTTAAAAGTCTGAAGTGTTCACTTTACTTAAGCTTTAGGGGAAATCAGTTAGAATCGAATCCTTTACGCTGCAATCTTATAAATAAGTGAATATATGAAAAAAGCTTGGATCGTTATTTTTTCCGCTAACGAGTAAACGCTGGGTGTTTATAGAGAAAATAATTATCGTGCAGCAGATAGATGGCCAGAAAATCTTTTCATGTTTTCTATAACTGTCATGCACTATTTAGTAACCACTCACGACATGGCTTACTAAATGCAGTAGGGTTACTAATACCATAGTACGAAAACCACCACTAGTTTATTCAATTTAGGCGTTACGAACGTAAGAATCCGGAATTGACTACATTCTACCGGCTATAGATTTATCGTGAGACCTAAATGTAGGTTTTCGAGTATATACTACTGATTAAATATTACCGAATATTCATAGCAGGGGCGAATATGCGCGGGGAAAGATAAGTCGCCTGTAAAAACTTGCAGCCCAATTAATTTTGCATCAACCCTAACATTACAAGACATCTCGCTAAGCGATTTTAGTAAGTAAACCGGTCCAGAACCATCGACGGTGATTGCACATTTGTCATTTGATGCTGATGATGGCTGATGCAAATTGGCCATTTCGTCTGTAATGCGGCAAATAAAAATCCAAGACGATAGACACGTCAAGCGTTTTTAACTTCCAATGAGATACTTACAATTTCCGAATAATTGGGAAAAGGGAAGACATACATCTTATTGTCTGGCAATCTAATCTAAGTGAAATATATATATATATATATTGTTTGGGGAACTTTCCAAGTTCTTCTTTCAAAAACATTTATCACATTGGTTAGCACACTTACAGCGAGTGGGCATTATTGCATTCTTTGGTTACTGGTGCATCTGAAAGTCACATTAAACGCTTGTATCACATTGGAAACTGTCAGCACCGCTCGGTGTGCACCAGCACTTTTGAATCGTATGTCCCTACGCCGTTGGAGAACATGTCTTTACATGAATTCATTATTTCCTAAAGCAACGTCATCTCTGGAATAGAGTTCAGAATGTCTTGTTGGGTTTTAATTCTATCCGCTACAAATTACTTTTGGAGTAGCGGTGGGGCTGCGCTGCTTACTTGCATCCAGGACTCGACTTGCACATGCGACTAACTCACATTTTTCCCTTTTGCTATGTAATCTGAGGTGGGTTTAACGAGCAACAACCATAGAGGTCAAAGAGCACGTTGGTGCTTATAAATGCTCCTGCAAATTCTTCTCAGTTTAATGTGTGCAACTGAACCGATATCTGCACATATCATCAGTGAAACATATAAGAAATCTTAGTTTACTAGTGCAGTATGACTTGGCTGATAGAAACAATCTGATGCTCTAATATGACTTGGAACTGACAGGTTGTTCGTCTTCGGTGGACGTTGGCATGTTGGATGTTCCTCTCTGCTTGCAGGAGCTCCATTTCTAAGTACGGTTTCGTATGGAGTATAATAATAAATCATTACTGCCTTAGTAGAATCACATTTTTGCTGCGCTATAAACTTGGCAAAGGAGTGCATTCGATCGAACTACGGTTTGTTTAGAGTGTCATTTTGAAATACTCGTTATGTCTTCGGATTGCGAAAGGCAATCTAAATGTAGACCGTAATTCGATTTAAGTGAACCTAAGCCAATTCGATCACTGAGGACGTAGCGGAAGCTTACGAAAATTGGTTTCGTCAGACTGGAAGGCAAAGCACTCCACTACACGTTTCGACCTTGTTTATCTCGTCTGGTCGACATAGATGGACGCCTGGCATTTCTAAGCCACTGCCTCAAATTGTCGTAAAACCGTCTGCAAATTCGATCTGATAATTTTTTACGCACACTTTTTACATGCTAAGACTCCAACGAAATCACCGCAAGCTATAGTATTGAGAACTAGTGTACGGGTGTGGACGTCAGATTATTTGGTTAAATGATGAAGGTAAGTCGAAGCCCACAACGTGTTTGCAGCTGTCTATGTGGTAGTACATCAAAGCCTATCAGAGCATCACCGACAATATAACTCCCTGTCCAAACAGGAATTTAAATCAGAGTCGTCTAACGCACAGTTATAATTTTTAATCGTTTAGCCAAATAGTCTTGAGTTTTAGTTTCCCATGATACCGTGTCGTTTATGCCACAATAACTTCGTCTGTTCCCGGATACACGTGTTGGAGTCATACCTTGGGATTATGCTACATATAAAAACAAAATCCGATTAAAACAACTGCTTACCACTAGACTCCCTTCCAAATTATACTGGTACAGAACTTCGAAGTATACACCACCACCTTCATGAGTTTCGTTACCGCCAATTTGGCCGTTTAACACCAAGAATACAAGTAGCTCATAATTCGTCGTATCATTATGTATTATCATCATGGCTAATCATTAGCAAATTTAATCAGTTTATCAGTATGATGACGGTTCATCACTTTCTTGGACTATTACCGAAAGATATCCACATGTAAAAAAGCAGCATAAAATTGATCATAAAGTCCTCCTTGTACGATGCAGTCTCTACGCCACCCTGAACAAATGGAGCACGAGGAATGTTCCAGTTTTTCATCCATCTCGGAACCAGTGTTAGCAAAAATCGCTTTCGAGTTGTTATTCATCAGGCTTAAGATAGAAATATAACTTGACAAAGGCAAAGTCCATCAGAGGGCACAGAACATAATTCGTTGAGCAAACACATCAAACTGTTTTCATGACGTGCGTTAACTAGCCAGGTGTTTGGCGGCACGTGGTATTGCTGGGCAGAAGATGATGCTTTTCTTTTGACTGTTGGAAAGGAAGGTTTTAATACTTGGAGGAACTTCTATTCGATACGGATGTTCGAGCTTGCCATCTGATACTTATCGCTTCAACAGTAGCATGTACTTGTGTCACCCGCTAAAGGGTCAACTGAGATAGTATTCTATACCGGATTTCGAACCCTCAACGTGTGTAAACTCGGTGCATGATACTGAGCAGGTGGTCGGTTATCCAACTTTAATCGCTTCTATCAGTTTTTTGATCTTCCCTGTTTTTTTTTCTTGGCATTTGTTCGTACATCACTATAATTATCACTAAAGGAACAGGTGATCCAGTAGTTCATCACTGATTTGTGTTGCGCAGGCACTCCGTCTTTGGATCTACAGACAGGTAAGGACTTTCCTGTGAAATCCAGATTAATTGGAACCGCATTGAAGGTACTTCTGCAGGTTCGCATCAATCTAAGTGTACAGACTTCAGTCGCTTCGTCACTATGACTGGGATTCGTGGAGAAAAGCCGCTGATTCTCAGCTGACTGCAGTTTCGATCTTGGGCTGCTGCTTCTCATATGGGTGTCAATGAAGAACGCTGGGTAACCATCTTCGAGAAGAATGTGTTTGATTCGCTTCAGTTCACAGTATCTGCGCAGCGTGATATTATGTGCACGGTTGGTCAACATATGCGCCATTGTTCTTTTGATGCTGAGTGGCACAGAGCCGTGAAAATTTGTGCACTACCCCGTCCAATACGGTTTTCCGCATAGCCCTAATTTGGTAGATCGCTCTGTTCTTCTCTTTAGATTGGCCTACAAGGAATTTAGCTGGTTATTAGGTCATTCTTCAGCTAAGAAGTTGAAACATGCAACAAAATTTGGTAAGTTCATCGGCTGAAATCTATAGAGAATATGTCGTTTCGGATTATGTCATCGAGGCAGGGAAGAAGCAACAATATACATTCGCGTATATAGCCACAAGAAGGGTCAATTAAATGAAATAACCGCCATACATCATGTTTTACATCGGTTCAAATCTGGCCATCCAGATATCCCAACAGGCTACGAATGAATAACATTTTTCCATAAAACATGGAAGTCATTCACGATCCACTCCTGAACGGCTTGCCATGAGTAGGGAAACTGGGCATTTAAGGGTGCAATCAAATTTTCCAACCATTAGTATTGTACCCTGCGTTAAACAAATGCAAAATTAGAAATTGACATTTAAAAAGACCGAGCCGACAACGCCACTGTCGGCTAGCTGCACAATGCAGTCAAATTCCGTATTCATGATGGCCCAGTTCGTATCAACAGACTGTCACATTGGTGCAGATTTTCAACGCAATAATAGTAGAAAGTCCAGCGCAAGTAAACGTGTAAGTGTCAATATAGGCCACTACACCTTGAGACAGGAGATCGTAGCAGTGACGATGTTATCCGTGTATAGAGAAAAGAAAGACGTCGCTATGGAACGGTGAATGCTTCATGACCGCTGATTTTTGTTCCGAGGCAAGTTTTGAAGATCGATCCAGATGAGAAATTGCGGATAGTGTTTGGGATTTGGAGCTGGTTGAGAAGTGGTCAAAAGGGCATGGTTACATGGATCACGTAGTAGCTATGGCTAATGATAACAAGAGAAACGAAATGAACTGATTCGAAAGCAGTTATGGCAGACGGTTATGAATCAGGGTATTCGCCACACTGCATTGGATGTCAAGTTGCGGACTGTAAGTGAACA